GGGCGCCCGGGGAGGCTGGGGCCAGGAAGGGGGGGCCCCGCGGGACGGGGCCGCTCGCTGCCTGGGGCGCTGCCTGGGCGCGGGGAGCCCCGCAGCACCCCTTTGCTCCTGTCTGCCCTCTGCCTGGCCGAGCAGAGCGCTCCACGCGTGTTTCTTTCCGCCTGGCTGCCGAGGCTCGGCTCCGCGGAGCTGCGCCGCCCGGGGGCCGGGAGGGCGGAGGAAGGACGGGGCTGGGGGCTGAAGACGCGGAACTTTCGCTCGTCGGTGGGGCTGGGCTGGGCTGGGCTGGGCTGGGCTGGGGTTGGTTTTTTTTTTTTCTATGTCTCAAAATTTCTTCTCTCCCCCTTTGAGGGAACCTCTTCTTTTCATTTTCTTGTTTCTTTGTTGATCTTATCAGAGGAACCAGGACTGGAAGAGGACCCAAGAGAGACAGAGACAGAGACACACAGTGAATGAGAAGAGCTGGGGGCTGGTCCCATCTCCCTCTGAGTTGGCCTTGTGATCTTAGGGCGGGCACTTTGTCCCCTGGGGGTTCAGCTCCTCAGGGGAAGGCTGGATGCTGGGCCGACACCTGACCTGCAGGAGGAGGTGCACCCTGCTTTCCCCACCCTCCTCAGGAATCCCCCCAGACCCCTGCTCCCCGGTGCGGGAGGAGTCCAGCTGGCCTGCCTGTGGGCACGGTGCCCAGCGGGCGGGACCCCCATGGCGGGCGCTGGCACAAACCTAGGATCTGGCCATGTTTGCAATTGTTTGGGTTTTTGTGTGAGTCCTGCAAGGTGGGGAGGATGCCAGGCTGGGGCTTTTGTACCCAGAGGGGCTTGGGGAGTGGGTGGGGTGACCCAGCTTCTGGCTGAGTTTTCTTTCTGTCTCTTTGGATTAAAAACAGAAATTCCCGTCTGTACAGCGCAGCCAGGTCCCACAGGCTGAAAGGCTGGGGGTGGGGGAGCCACATGGCTTCAGGCCCGAGCTGGGCCGGGCCTGGGGGGAGGGGCAGGAACCCACCAGGCCGGCTCCTCTACCCTCAGGACAGCTGAAGCTGCGGGGAAGAAGCCCAGGCTCCCTGGGGTGGGCACTGCTTCCTCTGGGCGCCAGCAGGCGGCGCTGTCTCCCCGCACACGGGAGACCGGGAGCACACAGGATGGACCCCAGGACCTGGCTGCATGGCCACCTCCCCCTTCTAGGGTCCGCTTGCTGTGTGACTTTGTGACTGTGTGGCGGGCCAGGGGCTCTCGGCACACCTGACAGCACCTTCTCGGAAGCCACACTGAGGCCCTTCCAGGCTCTGTGTCACCAACGTTGGTCTGCAGGGACCCAGAAGAGCCAACTGGAGTGCACACAGATACCCAGACACTCCACCCATGCCCTAATCCCACAGTGATGGCCAGTGTGGAGAGTGGGTGGCCTGCCTGAGCACACACAATCTCCCATGGGCCTTCGGTGACCAGGCTGGGCCTCCTGCTGCTCAACAGCTGCTGCTTGTGCTGCTATCATGAGAATCCCGGAGCCCCTGTACGCTGCCTAAGACCCAGCCCGCTACAATGGGGTGAGGGGGCTGGGGTGCTGCCTGGGTGCGGGGGGGGGGAGGAGTGGTACCACATTTTCAAAGTAGCCAGAGATCCACATAGGATTTCCCATGAAATTTTGCAGTGTTTAAAGTCCTGCTGGAACACAGGTATGGGCCATTGGTACGGCATGCTGGCTTAGCAGGTGTGAGGCCCTGATTCCCAACCACAGCACCAAAACCAACCAACCACCCCCACACACACACCCACACACCCACACCCACACAACAGCCAGGTGCAATTAATGCCCACAATCGGAGCACTCCGCAGGCAGAGGCAGGAGGCGCAGGAGTTCAAGGCCACCCAAGACTACATTGGGAGACCCTGTCTCAAAAGGTAAAAAAAATTCTGAGTGCCAGTGGCTCATACCTGTAATCCTAGCTACTCAGGAGTAAGACGATCCTGGTTCAAAGCCAGCCCAGGCAGGAAAGTCTGTGACACTCTAGTTAACGATCAAAAAGCTGGAAGTGGAGCGATAGAGTGCTAGCCCTGGGCAAAAAAGCTAAGGGACAGTGCCAAGGCCCTGAGTTTAAGCTCAGTATTACCACAAAAACAAAAAAAAATATGACAGAAACAAAGCCCAACCCAGTACACAATTATTCCGATATTATGCCTGGAGACAGGCCTACCTACCTCTCAGACTCTGGTGTGAATGGGGACATGGGACCTAGAAATGGCTTCGGAGCCAGGCACCGGTGGCTCACGCTTGTAATCCTTGCTACTCTGGAGGCTGAGCTCTGAGAATCACAGTTCAAAGCGGGGGCCTGGGCAGAAAAGTCCCCATGAGACCGTTATCTCCAATTAACCACTCAAAAACCAGAAGGAGAGGCTGGGAAGGTGGCTCAGTGGTAGAGTGCTTGCCTCGCATGCATGAGGCCCTGGGTTTGATTCCTCAGCACCACATAAACAGAAAAAGTAGGAGGTCGCACTGTGGCTCAAAAAGTAGGGCGCTCGCCTTGAGCTGAAGAGCTGAGGGACAGTGCCCAGGCCCAGAGTTCAAGCCCCATGACCGACCAAAAAACAAAGAACAAAACAAAACAGAAGTGCTGTGGCTCAAGTGGCAGAGCACTAGCCTTGAGCACAAAGGGGCTCAGGAACAGTGGCCAGGCCCTGAGTTCAAGCCCCACACCGACAAAAAAAGAAAAACACATGGTTTCAGAGAAGCCAGGCACAGTGGCAATGCCAGTCATGTATCTACTTGGGAGCTGAAGGCAGGAGCATCACCAAAGCCGGGACACTACCAACCCTGGGACCATACCAAGACCTCATGAAGAACAAAACAAAGGAAAAGGAGCTTAATGCTCTTCTGAACTGGAGGTGTGGCTCCCTGGTGGACGGCCTGCCTAGCAAAGCACAAAGCCCAATACTACCAACATGAGAGATTGGCTGGTCCCTGCGGTAGCTGGTAACACGGAAGCTTTCTCCCCAGGGTGTCTGACCACAGGTCCATTTTTCTTTAATTAACTCAAACATAAGCAGCTGCCTGTGGCCATGGTCACCCACGATGGACCCACAGCACCTGCTACTGCACCGCAGCGGGTCCGCTGCCTGGCAGATGCTCCATGCCTGTGCTGGGCAGAGGGGGCCAAGCACCTGCCCTGAGTCCTACCTGGGAACCGGCCAAAAGCCACGTGGAGATTCTGGGGCCTGGAGGTCTAGGTGGAAACCCAAGACCTGAGTGTCCTCAGAGAGGGTGAAGGAGGCTGGGTCAGCCACCAGCTCCTGGACTTCCACTCTGGCCTGCGGGTTCTCTGGGACCCGAAGGTTACCGCTGGCCCGAGGCTGGGAGAGCCTAGCCCTGCATCTCCAGCCCGCCTGCCTCGCTGGCACACCACACCAAGGCCTGAGGGCCGTCCCCCAGGGTCCTGGGAGCTTCCCTGCAGGGGACCACCACCTGGTCTCAGGCTAGGGCCTTCTCAGTTCCAGGCCTGCAGCTGGGGACAAAGGCAGCACGGTGGGGACTGCTCTCCCCACGGTCCTAGGATCAGAGGATCTGCAGCCTGCTCCGCCAGCCCGCCCACCCACCCACCCCTGCTTCCTGAGCCAGGTCCAAAATTGATTAAACTAAGTAAAAAGCACTGCCCAGGGAATGACAAAATTGCTAAAATTCTCCTTTCTTCCCTCATTCTATTGTTCTCTCTCCATCTGGTGCTCTGGGGATCAGCTAAAGTCACTGGTTACTGTGGAAACCGCCCCCAACTGTACCCCCCAGCCGCCTGCCCCCAGCCCGGCCCTGGCTCCCCCTTCTCTGTGCAGACACACCTGCCTGCTCAGGGCTAGGACCCCGGCCAGCGGGCTGGGCTGGCCGCACGACGCCCTCCTCCACCGCCAGGGGCCCCAAGATGGGGAACACCAGGGAAAGAAACTTTCCCCAACTTGCCTCAAACTCTGACTTGGCCTCAAAGCGTCTAAAGCCAAGTGAGCAGAGAAAGTGAGGGAGGGAAACCCGGGTGAGCGGGGAGGGCCTTGCTGACCCGTGAGCATGCGCACTGAGCCCCGGAGAACTGCTGCTCTGGGAGGGGAAGGGAGGAGAGGAGGGAGCCACGGAGCCCAGCCCCTGGTGCCAGCCGGGAGGGGAGGCCGCCTGCTGCCCCTTCCTCTGGCACCCCCTCCTGCCCTCTGCCAGCAGGGCTCTCTCGGCCTCCCTGGCACAGAGCAGAGGGGGCTGGCTCCAGCCCCTGCTCAGAGCCATTGTTTTTCTTCTCAACACCCCCAAGTTCAAGTTCATCTGGGTGTTACATCATGTCTGGTTGCTCCTGGAAACCAGACGGGTCAGACGTGACTCTGGGGAAAGGGGGTGGGAAGCTAGAGGGGGCTGAAGTTCCTTCCCCTCCCCTTCTTGCCACTAGGGAGCTCTGAAGTTTGAAGTTTGACAAAGTTTTTTGGCCTTTTTTTTTGTTGTTGTTGTTAGAGAAGAAGGAAAAGAAAGAAAGAAAACCCCCTCAAACCACACACACACACACACACACAACTTCATTCCACTAACTTTCTCTGGCCTGGCGCCTCACAGCAGAGGCGGGCCAGCGCCCACAGAGGTGGCCCTGGCGGCCGGGCGGGCAGAGGTGGGTCTCTGTGGGAAGCCTGGGAGAGGGGCTTTTGTAAAATGTGCAGGAGGGAGACCTGGGCACACTCTCTTCTGCAAGGCCTCGCCTGAGACCCAGACGCCCTCCAGCACCTCTCTGCCCTGCGGAGGTGGCGTACCCTACCTTGCCCCCTAGGGGCTGGGTCCTGCTCATCCTGTGTCTTAGGGCACAGGCACACCAGGGGACCGTCATTGCACATATGCACACACGCATGTGCAAGAGTCCTGGGGCTTCAGGCTCGGGGAGGTGGGGGCAGTGCCTTCCCTGATGAGTGCTTTTGCAGAGGCCTGGAGCCCTCACAGGGCTGCTGGGGGCTGAGAGGGGGGCGGGGCTCCAGCCAGCCAGCCCTGCCTTTCTCGTGGTGCCAGAGTCTCTGGGAAAGGAACCTACCAGGCCTCCTCTGCCCCTGGCCAGCCCACACATAGCCAGGGAAGCGGGGAGGGCCAGGAGCCAGGGCTTCTAGCAGAAGGGGCCGGGAAGAGCAGGAGAGAGCCCAGGCTTCCGTCTGAGATGCCTCAGGCTTCTATCTTTGCTGCAACCACGCCTGGCCCAGAAAGCCTCTAGCCTTGCTTGGGTCCTTGGCCCCCTTCCCCAGGGCCAGGGCTGTCAGAGCTAATTATCCAATTAACCGATTAGCCAGGGAGCCTGGGGGCTGCCTGGGGAGGCCGCTCAGCTGGGCGTGCAGAAGCCAGCCAGGCTCAGCCCCTCGCCACGTGGAGATGCCCCTCTCCGCCAGTGCCCGGGCCGCACGGGGCTGGCTCCTACCTGAGACTGCTGTGGGATGTTCAGAAAGTTGCCGTCCCGGGGTCCGATGCTGACAAACCGGTTGGCAGAGGAGGCGCCTGTCGCTGCGAATGCTGTGGAGAGCGGGGAGAGAGGGGGACACCTGTCAGACCATGGAGCCGCCTGGGCACTGCCTTTCAGGGCTGCTGAGAGAGGGAGGCTGGGTTAGAGCTTGCTAGCGGCTGGTGCTGGCCGGCAGTGAGGACAGGCCAGGGGCTGCGGTGCTGGAGGCCCCCATCCTCTCACTGGCCAGAAGCACTCCCACCATACCCCTGCCCCCCAGAACTGACCCTCAGCCAGGTGTCCGCTCGAGCTAAGGAAGGGGCACTGATGCTGCAGCCAAGGTTCCTGGACCCAGTTCTGTCCCCTACCGAGATCCTGGATAGCACTGGGAATGACCCGGCCCGCAGGCGCCCCCAGTGGGTGCCCTGACTTTCCCGTTGAAGAAGAGGGCCGGATGAGGGTGGGAGCTGGGGAGACCTTCTCAGGCCATCTCCCCAACCCTGCAGCCTCGCTGGCCGTCCTGAGTTGTCCCCAGATTGGGCAGGCAGCCTCAGGGAGCTCCCAGTGGGCCTACTGGAAGGCTGCGTCACACAGGACCAGAGGTGGGGGGTGTGGGGGTGTGGGGGGGAACCTGCAGCCTGGCTGCCTGGTGCGGGGCCAGGGTTGGGAAGGCTCAGGCTCCCCCGCCATCCTCCTCCAGTTGATGGCCAAGCCCGAAAGGACCAGTAACCTCAGAACTGAATTATGGACCAAGGGGTCAAGAGGAGGAACAGGAGGAGGAGCAGGAGGGGGAGGAGGAGGAGGCCATAGTGCCTGGCAGAGTCCCAAAGCTCAGTGTCCTGGGGAAGGTGTCCTGCATCGGAGCAGTCGAACAAACCCAACACTCCTGAGCTCTTCTTTTTTTTTTGGGGGGGGGTCGAATTGGAGCTCTACAGGAAGGAATAGGCCCTGAACTCCCAGTAGGGTGGGGGTGGAGATGTCCTCGGGGGTTAAAGGAGTCACAAGTTGCCTGGGAAGCCCACCCTTTCCCCCAATGCCGAACACACCTGGGGCCTGTGCTCGCCGGCTGCTGCCCACCTGCCTCCCCGTGCCCTCCCCGCGCCCATGAGCATGAGTTCCTGTCTCGTGGCAGATGCAGATGAGCGGATGGCATGGTGATGGTGGGGAGGGGAAGCGAACTCAAACCAGGGGGGGAGGAGAGACAGAGGGTGCGAACAGACAGCAGTGGGGGGTGGGCCGTCCTCCGCCTGCCCGCCTGCCTGTCGGCTGGCTGCCAGGCCCTGGCCTGTGGCCTGTCAGCCCCAGAGCTCGGCCCGCCCGTGCCCGCTCCCTGCCCACAGGCAGTGCCACCCAACTGTCCTCTGCCTCTCTGTCCTTCACATCAGGTCTACCTCGGGCCTCACCACTCAGTGTTCTTCTCTTCCCTTTGACAAAATTTGTCATTGGTCTTAAAGAAAAAAGAAAGGAAAGAAGGAGGGAAGAAGGGAAGGAGAAAAGAATGGGTGGAAGGGAGGGAGGAAGGGGGGGAGGGAGGAGAGAGATGAAGTAAGCCAAGGCCCAAAGCCCACCCACCACTTCAGAACCACCAACCTAGGACAGGAGCTGAGGGAGAGGAAGGGCGAGGGGTGGGAGGAGGGAAAGGGAAAAAAAAAAAAGAGGAACGACGAGAGAAACCAAATGGGAGACTGAGGCAGGGTCAGGGCCAGCCCCTGTGTCTTCAGAGGCCTGTGGGCTGGATGGGGGGGGGCAAGGCAAAAAGGGGGTGGTGGTGGCGTCACCTTGTGCTCACAGTGATTTTTGTTTTGGTGTGTATAGGGGAACAACGAAACAACAAAAACTAGATATATATTGAAAAACAAAACCAAAAAAGAAAAACAAAACAAAAAAAAAAGAAAAAGAAAAAGGAAAAAAAAAACAGCAATCAGGCATGATGATGGCATGGCTGTGCCTCCCGCCCCCCCCCGCCGGCACCCACGGCCCGGCACCCCACCGTGCTCTCCCTCCCGCCCCCCAGGGGGGCCTGGGTCACCCCCACTGGGTGCGAGCAGTGGACAGAGAGGCTCATGGGGTGCTGGCCTGGTGCAGCTGAGGCCCGGGAGGCTGAGGCTGGGGCTCCGAGGCGCTGTGGGGGGACCTGGCGGTGGGGAGGGGCCGCTCCTGCCAGGCAGTGCGGGGGGGGGGGGCCACCGTGTGCATGGCGGGAGGCTGGGCGCTGTGCTTGCGTTTCCATGGTCCACTTACAAGGTGACGGAGGAGTCAAGGCGGCGCCGTCTGGGGCAGTGCTGGTGGATTTGGAATCAGGCATAGGAAGGGGCACAGGTCTGGCCACTGGAGGCGGCGGTGGTAGCAAAAATGACCCCGGGACTTTGCCCTGGCCGCTACCGTTGGGCTGCGAACAACATAAATAGAGTGACGCATGAAAGCACATCGCACACACACGCTCCCCTGCGCGGCCGCCGCGCACGCGCCTGCTCGCTCGTGGGAGTGGCGCTCCCGAGGGAGTGGGAGAGGCAGGCCGGGGCGGGGCCTCCTGGCCTCACCAGGGCAGGGTGGGGAGGGTGGAAGGCCTCTATTTGGTCTCTCAGGTGTTTCTCTCTTTTTTTTTTTGTCCTCTTGAAGTAGAAGGAGGGGGGGTTGTCCGACAGACGGCTGGTTATTTCCTAAGGAAAATGGTTTAGATAGACATGCCACTAGTCAGCTGCTTCTAGAACTCTTTTGCACCTGAGGACCTCCCATGGCAGATAAGGCAGCTCACCTTGCCATCTCCAAAGGCCCTAGAAAAACCTTCCTCTGCACTTGGGGGGGGGGTACAGCCTCAGGAGGAACCCCACAGGCAGTGGGGGGCGGGGCTGGCCTTTCTCTACAGCGTCCCTGTGGCTCCTCAAGAGTGTGAGCTTGCCATGCCACCGTGGCTCACACCTGTCATCCCAGCAACTCAGGAGGCTGAGAGCTGAGGATCGTGCATGGTTCAAAGCCGGTCTGGGCAGGAAAATCCTTGAGACTCTTTAGTCTCCAATGAACCACCAAAAAATGTTGGAGGTGGAGCTATGGCTCCATTGGTAGAGTGCTAGCCTTGAGCAAGAGAGCTCAGGGACAGCGCCAGGCCCTGACTACAAACCCCAGGATCAACACTAAAGCAAACAAAAACAAAAGCGTGGGTCCTGTCCTGTGCCCTCTGCGGTGTCACACCTGAGTGTCCCTGTCCAGGCAGGGGCCCTGTGTGGTTAGGGTCCCTGCTTGGGAGACACAGGTGCCACAGGCTCCCTGGCCTCTTGCTGGCAGCTTCCCTGAAGGGTCGCCTCGATGCCCACCTCCATGCCAGGGAAGGCCAGGTCCCTGCTCTCCATTCTCTTCTGCAGGCACAGCTTTCCCTCCTCCGGCCCCTCTCTCCTATGGGTGGGCAGCGCCCACAGAGCCCGCACGGTCATGAGTCACTCGGTTGGCAATCATGTCACCTGCGCTATGATAGTGAGATTCTGCCTCCTCCCTGCAAAGACAGCGAGTCTCCCCCCCCCCAATCCAGGCCCACAGGCCACCTTTAACTACCACCATGTCTACACCACCCCCACCCCAGGACATAGCTGTCCTCACCTGGGGTGGCTATATCTAGAACCATTTGTGGGGCGGGGGTGGAGGTGGGAGGTTAGTGGGGGTAGCTGCAGCTTAGCACCCTGCAGCACACAGGGTGGCCCCCAGGACAAAGGAGCACCTGTGCACAAGTCACCGGTGTTACTGCGCAGAGACCCAGCACAGAGGGAACTTAGTTCCCTCACTTCACAGCTAAAGAAACTGAGGTCACCTAGCGACCACTGGCCAGGCCTGGAGTTCAGAGCCATGTCTGATCCCAGAGACCCTGTAGACTTCCCCAAGTGCTCTTCAGCTCACACTACAAGAAGTGTGTCACTTCACCGGGTCACAGGTAACGCAGGCTGCCCCATTCAAGGCCCCCATGATGGGGAGCAGACTGGGGTCTTCCTGGTCCCACACACCACCTTCACATTCCCAGACATTTTAAGCCATTCCAGACCAATGGCGGTTCCAGAACAGAGGCTGGACGGCCTCAAGGGCACTCACGGGAGTGCTTTCCATGCCCTTCCAGGCCCGTTCACTCCTGGAGGCCAGCCAGTTCCCTGAGTCATACCATCTCTCCCCATCCTGCTCTTCCGGTCTTGACCTCCATGCTCTGAAGTTGGCAAAAGTACACGACCCTCAATTCCCACTCACAAGTGCACCACTTCAAATTCATAAGCCCCACAGCTGAAAGGCCCAGCTCTCCTTCCTCCCTCCCAGCGCCTGGGTCTGACACACTGTCCCTCCCAACTGGCTCCGCCCACTGCTCCTGCCCTCCCTCACCATGACATGCAAGGGCTGGGAATGCGGCTCAAGAGTGCTAGCCTTGGAAGTGGCGCTGTGGCTCAAGCGGTAGAGCCCTCGCCTTGAGCTGAAGAGCTGAGGGACAGCGCCCAGGCCCAGAGTTCAAGCCCCACGACCAACCAAAAAGAAAAAGAGAGAAGTTAAAACATTTCTTTGGGGCTGGGAAGGTGGCTCAGTGGTAGAGCGCTTGCCTTGCATGCATGAGGCCCTGGGTTCGATTCCTCAGCACCACATAAGCAAAAAGAAAAGGAAGTGGCACTGTGGCTCAAGTGGTAGAGTACTAGCCTTGAGCTGAAGAGCTGAGGGACAGCGCCCAGGCCCAGAGTTCAGGCCCCACAACCAGACCTCCCCCCTCAAAAAAACAAAACAAAACAAAAAAAGAGTGCTAGCCTTGAGCAGAAGCCCAGGATTCCTCTCCTCAGCACCACATAAACAGAAAAAGCCAGAAGTGGCGCTGTGGCTTAAGTGGTAGAGTGCTAGCCTTGAGTAAAAGAAGCTCAGGGACAGTGCCCAGGCCCTGAGTTCAAGCCCCAGGACTGGCAAAAATAAGAATAATAATAATAATTCAAGCCAGGAGCAAGGTGGCTCACACCTGTCCAGTCAGGAAGGCCTTGAGACTCTTATCTCCAATTAACCACCAACAAGCTGGAAATGGCGCTGTGACTCAAGTGTTAGAGCACTAGCCTTGAGCAAAAAAAGCTCAGGGACAGCACTCAGGCCCTGACTTGAGTTCAAGCCATAGGACTGGCACGGACACACAGACACACGGACACACAAACGAACACACACACACACACACACACAAATCCAGAAGCCTTGGACAAAAGCAGGCAGTGGATCTGTGTCTTGTGCAGTCACACTGGAAACAGCCACTTTGGGCTCAGAGGACAGCAGAGGCTGCAGATGACACTGAGCTCCAAGAGACAGTGCTCCCCTCAGTCCATGCCTGTAGGCTTCTGTCAGGCAAGCAGGAACCCCTCCCCCTGCCTGCCCCCCTCCCTTCCTCCCCACTGCAGACTGCAGCCTTTCACCTTCTCTCTGGGCCCCCAGCAACTGGCCCCAGACCTTCCAGAAATGCTTGCAACCACAGGGTGGCCATAGCCTCCTTTCTCACTCTAGAGACTGAAGTTGCTACTCCCGTCACACAGGGCTAAGCCTGGCCTGATAGGAGCCAACGCTGAAACTTGCCGAATTCTGACTTTCCATTTCTAGAAGTAACTTCCATCTGGGCAGGGATGTCTGAGCTCTGGTTGGGGTATGGGTTGAGGTGTTACACGTCTTGTAATGGTGCTTGTAATGATCTCATTGGTCAGGGGCTAGAGGGAAACTAGAAGCTGGCAGGTGACTGGCTTCCATCTTACGGACATACCAGGTCTGACAGTCCCGGTGTGTAGTGTCCCACCCACGCTCTACGGGCTTGGAACAACTCCGCTGAGTCCTCTTAGCCACCATCTCCTCTCTGCCCTGAAACAGGCTAACCAGGCACCTTTTCTGTCCTCTGTCTCTCACCCGTGTGGTATCTACTTGGCTTTGGCCATTACACATTTGGTTCTCTGAAACCAGTGCGTGACCCTGGGTGGAGGGAAGGGCTCTCAAGTGCCGGCAAACCTTTGCGCCATGTCAGTGAACTTCTTTTCTGCGGATGCCTTCCTGCACAGCTGGTTTGTCGTGGGCTCTCAAGGTGCTTTGGAAGCCCCTCCTCTACACTCTGGATTGGAATTTGAAAGTATGGGGTGCCCTGGCCAGCAGTCCAGCCCCAAGCAGATGCACGCACAAAGGCCTGACCCGGACCTGCTGTTCCAGCAGCTGTAGGCTGAGGCCCAGCCACCTGTGTATGCCAGGCCTGCGGGCGACCCTCGCCCACATGGACGGCTGACACTTGCTGCTCCAAATGTGGCAGGGAGCAAGCACTGCCCTGCTTCTGGCTCTTCCACTCAGAAGCTGGCCGTGGGCTCCTCAAGCTCCCAGATGAATCCCTCATCCTCTCATGGATTCAGGCCCTAAGAAGAGACCCAGAGAGGCTGCTCCCAGCCTGCTTTGTGCTGCTTCAACCTGTGTGTGTCTCTAGGTGCAGTTGGCTGTAGCCAAGTGCCTGTCCATAGAGGACAGCCCTCCAGGTAAATGAGCTCCTATCTTGGGCCACCAGGTTGAGGGCCAGGCTCAGAACGCACCCTGCAGGTGGGCAGGGCCTACTGACCCTCCTTCCTCCGCCCAGCTCATCTGCACTCCGAACCCACAGGCCCTTGGGGACAGGGCTGTCACGTCTCTGAGGACAGCACAGCGGCTATCAGGAGCTAGGTCCATTCCTAAGAGTGACAGAGCTTGTCCAGAGAGGTGAGCAAGGCCACAGGCGTGCTGAGGAGTAGCCCAGGCAGAGAGGGAAAGCCTCTCGGTACACAGAGGAGGAAGTAAAGACAGCAGGAGGAGGAGGAGAAGGAGGAGAGAAGAAAGTGGACCGGTTTCGCGATGGGTGCCAACAGAGAGCCAGGAGGCCACCCCAAGGCCCACCCCAGGCTGTACTGCAGTGCTAGCAAACGCCGACACCACACGGAGCCCTCTCCTGGTGAGCAGCCTCTGGCAAGGCTGCGGGAACACAGGCCCAAGTGTGACCCTTTGGGCCTCCTCCCCCCACTTATCACAGCAGGCTTCGCAGCGCCCAGCATTGTCAAGAGAGCAACCAGAGTGGCCCCCAAGGGCTGAATGTGTCCCTCCTACCCTCAGGGACAATCTCTGTGCTGTGCAGGGCCCATGGCCTGGCCCTAGTGCTTGGAGAAAGGTCGGCGGGGCAGCCCTCTGCCCCCTAGGTTTGCCTACAACCAGAAAGGTACAAGAAGCCCCCTGCCCCTGGAGTGTCTGTGCCAGCTCTGGACTGGGTCCCCCTCCCCCTCCCCCGGTGTTCCTGTCCCCCCCCAGCACAGTGAAAGCCAGAGACGTTTCAGATGACCACAGCTAGGGAGGGGGAGGTGCCTGGCACTGGCAGGGAGACGGTGCCAAATGCCCACAGGGTCCAGTGTCCAGGTCTCACACCGCACAGAATACACAGCTCCCAATGTCAACAGTGCCAGGATGACACACTGTAGTCTAGAACCTGATAAGTCCTTGCACCCCAAGATTGAAGAGGTCTGGGCTGGATAGATCTCAGGCTCAGTCCTGCTGGGAGGGCCAGGAGCTGGGCAGATCCTGGTACCGCGTTCAGAACCTCACCTCAGGCCCAGCAAAGGGGAAGCTTGTGAGGCTGCCGCCGCCCCAGAGCCAGCCGGGCTCCCAGCCTTCACACGTGGAGACACACTCGGACAAGAGGCTGCACTGGGGCTCCTGGCCTTTGGGACTCACCTGTCCGGTGGCCTGGCCCGAGCCATCTGAGCAGACGAACTGCACAAACTCCTTCAGGGAGTCCTGGCCGTGGTGGTGGTGGTAGCGGATGGTCGGGTGTGTGAAGTACGGGCTCGACTGCTGGATGATGGACGTGGAGGGGAAGTGCAGCGCCGAGGCGGTGGCCCGGGGGCTCCCTGTGCACACCGGCAGGGAGAAGAAAGGTCAGGGTTGAGGCAGCAAAAAAGGGCAGGGCAGGGAGAAGCAGGAAGAGCACTGGTTTCAGCCACAAAAACCCCAGACGTTTGAGATCAATGACATTTAAATGATCTAAAAACAGCTAATAGCCAAGCTAGCAGACTGCTTCTGTAAATATAAAGTTTGATTAGAACCAAGGTGGGGATTAGGGTGACTCAGGCAGGCAAGGCAGTACCTAGTACCTAGGCTGGCCTGGACCATGATCCTCTTATTTACGCTTCCTATGGAACTGAGATGACAGGTGTGTTGGATTGAAGTCTCAGGGATTTTTTCTGTCCAGACTGGTCTCAAACCACCATCCTTCTTATCTCAGCCTCCCCGGTAGCTAGGATCAGGCTGGAACTCGAAATCTTGCTTCAGCCTCCTGAATACTGGGATTAGAAACACGCACCACCTCACCTGACCTCATCGCATGCTTCTGTTTGCAATAGCTTTGACTGAAAAAATAGCGCCTTATTAATTTTTGTGTGTGCGCGTGCCAGTCCTGGGGCTTAAACACTGGGCCTGGGTGCTGACCCTGAGCTCTTTTTGTCAAGGCAAGCGCTCTGCCACTTGAGCCATAGTGCCATTTCCAGCATTTAGGTGGTTCATTGGAGATAAGAGTCTCACAGGCTTTCCTGCCTGGGCTGGCTTTGAACTGTGATGCTTAGATCTCAGCCTCTTGAATAGCTAGGATTATAGGTGTGAGCCACTGGTGCCTGGCTAAAATATTACTTATTTTGATAATTCGACTTTTGGTACCTCCTGACCTTTTTTTTTTTTTTTTTTGGTCGGTCATGGGGCTTGATCTCTGGGCTTGGGCGCTGTCCCTGTGCTCTTCAGCTCAAAGGTGAGCAACTAAACCGCTTGAGCCACAGCACCACTTCTGGTTTTCTAGTAGTTTATTGGAGATACGAGTCTCATGGAGTTTCTTGCCTGGGCTGGCTTTGAACCCTGATCCTCAGCCTCCTGAGTAGCTAGGCTTATAGGCGTGAGCCACCAGCGCCCAGCTCCTCCTGACCTTTTGTGCCCAAAGCTCCCTCACTGTCTGTGCCCTGGCCCCAGGGCCCTGGGTACAAGGCTGATGAGGGCAGATGACAGGATGTAGACGGTGGATAAAGACATGCTCTGCGCCGTGGAGGAGGGGCTCTGCCGCAGCCCCTGCAGCCCCCGGGTCTCAGCCCCATTGTCATTGCACGTGTCCTCACAGCCAGGCCTGCCACGGCACAGGCCTCAGCTCTTCCTCAAGTCCTCCCCCTCCTGTCTGGTTCTAATCAGCTCGTTCTCTCCATTTCATTAGGGGGCTGAGGAAACTTGGCTTCTCTTTGGAGTTCATAAAAACGGAGTCGGCGTGGAGAGGGGCCTGCTGCCTTCCTACTGCTTGCACAGGGTCTGGGCTCCCCGCCCCCACCTCGTCACCACACCCTGCCCCAGCACTGGCTGCCTCTGGGCTCACAGCCAGGAGGCCCTGAGGAGGAAGGCAGGAGGTAAACCTCCCAGCTCTGGGTCTTATGGAGGCGCAGGCAGAGCTGGGGCGGCATGCAGACAAAGGCCAGGCCTCCTGCTGCCGGATGGTGCAGAGGGAGGCTGGCAGGAAAGGAGTGAGAGGAGGAGGCGAAAGTTTCTAGGTGGTGTCCTGAGCATCTTATTGCAGAGACTGAAGCAAGAGATGCCCCTCCAACTAGGCAGGCCATCTGGGCTCTCTTCCCTGGAGAGCAGGGCACAGCCACCTGTCCCCCAGGCCCAGCCCTCTTCTGAGACAGGCCAGGGAGGCCTTTTGACTCCACAGCACCCTGGGCTCCTTCTAAGAGAGCAGCCCTTGCTCAGCCCGGCCAGGCACTGGGGGGCAGCGGGAGAGGGTGGGGGAGAAGCCTGGCAGGGTCCAAGCAGAACTGGGCCTGACTGGCCGGAGGCTCTGAGGAAACCAGGCCTGCTTGTCGGGGGGCCGTCCAGGGAGCCTGGGGCATGGCGCCGTTAGCCCTAGCTCCTCTGCGTGGCCAGCTGCCCCCCGTCGCGCCCCTCCCAGGTCCCATGTCTCACCTGGTCTGACTCCAGCAAGCACAGGCAGCGGGTGGTGGGTGAAAGCCATGCGTGGGGAGCTGCCCTGAGAGGAGAGGGCACTGCAGAAGTCCAGCTTTCCTGACTTTTTTAGAGAAGCCGGGCCTGGGGGGAGGAAGCAGCAACACGGGCAGGTTTAGCTGGGCTGGGGCGGGAGCAGGGACTGGGGAAGCCAGCAGCTCGCTCCTCCTCTCCTCGGCACCCCTGTCCACCACCAGCCTCCTCTGGGAGTCCTCCCACCACTTGGCCTGTCCGGCTCCTCCCAAGACTGGTGGTGGACAGGCTGGAAAGTGAAGCCCCTGGGTCCTGTGAGGTGACATGTGCTAGAAAGAGGAAAGGGAGAGACAGACTGTCCGCCATGAGTGGCTAAGGGAAGAAAAGGGGGGCAGGGACAGGAGTGATGGGGAGTGAGGAGGGCCGAGGGCCCACCTGGGAGGGGCGGTAGGATGTTCTGTGAAAGAAGCCAGCACCCCGCTCCCGAAGGGGAAGCAGCCCGGCCCAACAGGAGGGCAGGGACAAGGTCAGAGGGCCGTGGAGGACCATGGAGTCAGAGCCAAAGGGCCAGGACAGCCTAGGCCAGGAGGTGTGGAGGCTGGGGCTCTGCTCGGCTCTCACGTCACAAGAGCAGGCACTGTTGGGCAGGAGATGGAGGCTCTGCCTCTGGCCTCACAGCGCAGCAGGCACACAGAACCCAGCAAACGAGGCTGCCAGCAGGCATTGCTTCCTGGGGGAGCCTGTGCCTTGTCCTGAATGGAGCCTCAGAGATGGCCCTGGCCAGGAAGGGAAGGTGTAGGAGACCCAGGCATGAGCTGTGGCTTTGGGTGGAGGCAGGGGCTGCAGAACAGAGAAATGGAGCCATCTTCACGCAGAGGCTGGGGGCGGGGGAGGAGCGCTCCCAGCCGCCAGCAGAGGTGTTATCTAGTGGCAGCTGTGTGCCACCTGATAGCTGGCACGATGGGGAGGGGGAAGCGCCCACCAGCTGTGCACAGCTGTCCCTGCTGCTGCACAGCGCCTCTCCAGCTGTTCCCTGTCCTGCAGCTGGGCAGCTTAATTGACGATTTGTCGATTTGTCGCAGCCCAGGGAAACAACGACAAGTGGGGGTGGGGGAGCCAGGGTGCTGGGGTACTATGCATGGCAGGACTGCCTGGAGAAGCAGAAACGGCCGTGAGAACAGACAGCGAGGAAAAGAGAGCAGGAGGCAGGAGCCAAGGGCTCCTTGGGAACCAGGCCTGGGACCCTCCCGGGAAGACGGGTGGTGGTAGGCAGGCCCTCAGAGCACGCTAGCCCCACTTCCTGCAGATGGGGTCACCTCGCTGAGGACTGGCCACCTGAGATGTAGCAGAGTGTCCACTTTTGTCAACTCCCTCCCTGAGGGCCTCCAAAGACACTCCCAGGGACTGGTGACACTGGCCCAGTCCCTGTTTGCCAGGAGGAGCCTGCACGTGGCCACTCCCAGCCTGCGCAGTTACTCCAGCCCCAGCCTCTGCCCCGCAACAGGCCACGGGAAGACCCCCGAGTGAGAAGAGGAAGCCATGCCGGTGCATACCACCCATGAGCAGCCAGTCTCCTCACACACACACAGCCTTCCATGCACCCATGAGCAGCCAGTATCCTCACACACACACACAGCCTTCCGCTGGCTCCTCAGTCGGCACTGTAGGTGACAGGAAGGGGCTGCTGGGGGAGGTGGGGGAGAACTGGGAACGTCCCAGACAGCTTCCTCCTGGGCTCTTCACAAACTCTGCCCTTTGCTAGCTTCCCCGCCTGGGCTAAAAACAGCTCTGCCCATCCTTCCCTTACTCTGAGCGTCTCTGTAAAGCTGAGCCCTGAGGCTAGCAGTTTTCAGCTCCAGAGATTCTGTCCCCTAGTAGGGGGAGGCATTTGGTAATGTGTGCAGACACTTTTGTTCGTTAAAACAGGGTGGCTGGGTATGAGAGTGCATACCTGTAATCCCACCACTCGGGAGTCTGAGGCAGGAAGGATGGAGAGTTTCAGGCCAGGCCAGGGTATTTAGCAATACCTTATCTCAACAACAAAACCCTCTGGGATATAGCTGGGTGCAGTGGCACACCTTTATCATCTCAGCTACACAGGAGGCTGAGCTCAGGAGGATCGAGCTTCTAGGTGAGCCCAGGCAAAAAAGTTTGCAAGACCCCATCTCATTGGAAGCAGCTGGTTGAGTGCTTGACATCCCACCTACTTTGAGAAGCATAAAACAAGAGGATCACGGACCAAGTGCAGGCTTGGGCAAAAGGCAAGACCTTATCTCAAAATAAGCAGTGCAATAAAGGGCTGGAGGTGTGGCCAGGGGGTAGAGAGCCTGCCAAGCAAGCACAAAGCCCTAGTACCTCCAAAAAAGAAAAACCCAGGGTGGATGTTTGCTACTGGCATCTGTGGCGGAAGCCAGGAATACTGCTGAGCACCTCACAATGTAGGTCAACACCAAACCTCAGCCAGCAAGGAGGCCTCAAAACTGCTCTAAAGAGCTGGCCAATTCCTTCAGAGAAATACCAAGAGAAGAGACTGGCTAGACGCTGGGGCTTCACACCTATCATCCTATCTACTCAGGAGGATGAGATCTGAGGATCATGGTTCAAAGCCAGCCTGAGCAGGACAGTCTGTGAGACTCTTATCTCCAACTAATCACCAAAAATCTGGAAGTGGAGCTGTGGTTCAAGAGGTAGAAAGCCAAAAAGCTTAAGGACAGTGCTTAGGCCCTGAGTTCAAGCCCCAGGACCAGCCAAAAGAAAAAGAAAAAGAGACCCAGAAGAGTATGAGGAGAAGGCCCCACGGCAACGCATTGAGGCTGCACGACGCTCTACCCTCCACATGCACAAGCTCTGGTGTGGCCCAGCTCCTCATCGCTCCCCTTCCGCTTGGCCTGCCTTCCTCAGACCAGGAAGGAGAGACAGCAGTGCCACTTGGCAGCAGGGGCCATGGCGGGAAGCACGGGTGGCCGTGCCCATACCTGCATCCACGTCGTTGGGCCACCCGCTTGACTGACTGCTGCCGGCGGCCGGGGAGCGGCCTGTCCCAGGGTAGAACACGTCATCCACAGGGCTCTCCATCTCGCTGTCATCAATGGACTTGGGGCGCTTGGTGGTGCTGAAGAAGAGGAAAAAGAGCAGGTGGGCAAGGCTCCCTGATGACCTGTGGGTGTTGCCCAGTGAGCAGCAGCACTGCTGAAGTCTCCTCCACTGGACACCCTACCCTAAACTAGCGCTTGGACCCCAGAGCTGCCGGCTTGCTGGAGTCAGCACGCCATCCTTGCTGGCAGCCACTGAAGGCCGCTCAGAGGAGGAGGCAAACCCCGCCCCCTGCCTGCTGTGGCCCTCAGGAGCTCCGCAACAGTCATTAAGTTGCAAAATGTATCTGTGGGAGATTTAAACTCAGGAGTGCTGGAACACAGTCTTTAAGAGGACAAATGCATTCATAGGATTTGATTTTTAGCAAAATCAAAATCAATGTCAAAATCCTCATAGTAAACAATAATGTCCCCATGCTCACAAAGGATATGGTCCAGCCCTCCCCGGTAAGGTGTACCCTGACCCCTGTCCCCTCCCCTGGAGTCCAGAAAGCCCCTCCTCATCTGCCAGCCCCAAAGGCTCCTGGCCTCTAGCCGCATTCCCCGCATTCCCCGAGCACACATCCCAGGCTGCCGCGCTCCAGCCCTTGGCCCCACTGCGCATGTCCACATGCCTTTTGGGCATCACTCAGAGGGGCTGGGCTCAAATGTTACATCCCCAGAGCCATGCCTTGTGAAGGTTTGTGTCTTCATGGCCGTGTGCTTCGAGACAACATAAAGTAGAAGCTTAACAGGTGGCTGACCGCATGGGCCCAAGCCACATGAAAGCCAGCGCCCTCCACAAGGGAGGACTGGGTGATGGAAGAGAGAAGTGTGTGAAGCTGGGCTCACCTGGTGGAGGGAGGAGAGGTGATGGACCGCCGCCCCAGGGTCACCTGGTTTATGTTGTAGTAGCTGGGACTCTCCAGGTCCGCCAGTGAGAAGTTGGGCCCTGATGCCGTGGCAACAGGAGCTGGGGAGAACGAATGAGAGGCGTGAGGGTGAGAAGGGGTCCCCACAGACTGGGGGGAGGGTCTTTACTTCCCAGAGGCTCTGGGAGAGCTTGCCGTGGGGCCACGGGACAGGATGGTGGGTCACCTTCACAGTCAAGGAAATCTGGTAACTCGGGGTTGGGGCTGGAGGAAACTTAGAGATGGGACTCTGGATAATTTAGGCTTCACCCAGCCTGGGGCCAAAGGGGCAGAGCTGACCTCTGCTCCACCGCCCCATTAGTCTGCCCTGTGAGAGAGTTCCTACATCCCCCACCCCCAACCCGGCCCAGATGGCAGGACTCACTTACTCTGTGATACTCTCACCAGCTCTGTCACGTTCCAGACCCCCGAAGTCACAAAACAGTCCTGGAAACTTAAGTGCCCTGAGGAGGGAAGGAAAAGGGTTGGTGAGTGGCAGCAAGGCTGGCAGGGCCCCCTCTCTGTTCCTCAAAAACTTCTCCCCCTGTGGCCAGCCTCCTCCGCCCCCAATCCTTGAGAGCTCTGCCAGTCCCAGGTCAACCTTGAACTGGGGTCAGCGCCCAGTGAGCCCCCTCCCCTTGGATGGCAGCCCAGGTCCAGTCAGGAAGTAGCGAGGAAGAAGGAGGGTGGCCAGGGCAGTGGTGGAGAGAGGAAGGGGACACTAACCGTTGGGCAGTGGTTTGATGTCCGCATCTCCTTGCTGGTTTGAACTATCTGATTGTCCGGATTCTGCAGGAGACACAAAGGGGAGGTTGAGTCAGGAGCCAAGCTTTGCAGAGCCACCAAGTTTGCCAGTGCCTTCAAGCCCTTCTTGTGGCTGAACCTGGGCAGCAGATCTTCCCCGGCCCTGGGAGCCAGGAGAGGAGACAAGAGGGCAGGGAGTGAGCTTGGCTTCCGGCCTCTAAGCTGCCGAGGGCTGACATCTGGGCTGGACATCTCTGCCTCTGCAGCAGGGCCACAGGTGGGGGGAGGGGAGGTGTCCTGTGCACTGCATAGTGCTTGCCCACTAGGTGCCAGCAGTACCCCAGTTGTGCCAACCCAAACTGCCTCCAGACACTTTCCCCTGTGCCCTGAGGGACAGAGTCACCCATGAGGGAGCAGCAGCCAACAGCCAGTCCCAAGCCAGGAGGAAGCCCAGGAGAGAAGCCAGTGATCAGAGTTATCCACAGCTGGGGTGGACCTCAATGTCCCCGCCTCAATCCAGCTCCGGCTCCCAGAGGAGCATCCCCACCCCTAACTTCATTAATTAAAGCCTTTCCCGGGGCCTGTGCCTCCCCCGCCTCACCTTTATGCTCACAGGCAGTGCCTGGCAACCCGGAGGGGGAGGTGTGCCGCCCGCTCTGTGCCAGCCTGTCTGGGCTGTCTCATGCCCCAGTGCCACAGCTGCTCAGAGGCAGCCCGGAGACAAGGGCCCATTGTGTGGTGGGAGCTCAGAGGGTTGGGGGCAGGGTGGAGTGTGTGTGTGTGTGAATATTTTGCTGAGCTTGGGAAAGCCCCCCCACCCCGCCCCCAGGTCCTCCAGCATTGTGTGCCAGGGCACAACGGGGACCTCCAGCACGCCTGCCTAGGCACGACAGCTGGCAAGAGGGCAGGGGTGCTGGGCAGGTTGTGGTGCAGGAGGAAGTAGGCACTTGGGGAAGAGTGGGCAGCTTGTAGGGGCCACAGGGGTAGCATCTGAACACTGGTGCCCCGGTTCTGCTCAGGGCTTTGCTCTCCAGAATGGCCCGCCTCCTGGATCTCACCCACAGCCCATGTCTGGCCTGCTGGTGACCAAGGCTTTGCCACATCTGTAACCGGGAGCATCGGCCAAGCTCTTGGCTATCTGCCTCCATGTGACAAGTGGAAAAGGGCCACAGTTCGGGGCCATGCTGTCCCTATCCTTTGCCTCACTTCATCTTTTAATTTCCAAGAAAGAAATCACGAATCTTATCGTGCTGACCAATCCCACCCCTGGCAGAGAGCATGCTCCTGTGCCCTGTGTCACCTGGGGCCTCAAGAGTAGACTTCTCCCTGTGCCGTCTCTTTGCTGGTGGCACTAGAGGAGCCACACCACCTCCTCCCAGGCTCCCTGGCAGCACCGTGGCTCAGAAACTGACATCACAGAGGTGTGATTTTCCTAGCACCCTTTTACCCTGGCCCATTCTTGGCTCTCTGGGGCTGATTCACACCCTGGCTGGTCCTGGTGGGAGGCCAGGGGGCCAAGTGGCAGGTAGAGGGGGCTCACCCCAGGGCCTGCCTCCACTCTGCCCGGAGGCTCTCTCAATACAAAGCTTGGAAGGGGAAGGCCAAGGCTCTGCTGCCCAGGGGTCTCTGCTGGGGTTCCCACCTGGGTTCACCCTAGGACCAACTTAGCCCCTCTGAGTCTGGGTCAGTAGAGTGGGGCTCAGGGGCTGCCGCCGTGGAGCGCTCCTAGCCCACCATGAGAGGGCACTTGGCGAGGGAGGGCACGCTCGTGCTCAGTATGGGGTGCGCACGCGCACACTCAGCCAAAGGACAGAAAGAGGAGAGAACCCAACAAAGACATGGAGGTGCGCCAGAGACTGAGGCAGAGACAAATGGGGCTCCAGAAGAGCACGGCAGACAGGAAATCCTCTAAACCAGGACAGGGCCTGGCAGGGTGCTGCTGTTCCTACTGCTAGCGCCCATCTACCTCCATGTGGAGGAGCAGAGCAGGCAGCAGGGCACAGGGGCAGGACAAGGACCCGGTGAGGCGGCCATGCGCCCTGCAGGCGGCTGCGGCTCAGGCTGGGCTCGGGCGCTGCTGGCAGCCATCTTAGACCTTGGCAGCCATCTTACGCGGGCGGCCCCACAATGCCACTACCGCCAGCCCCGACATGCTCAGCTCAGCTCTAGGACAAAAGGCACAGAGACACTAGAGGTCCAGACAGGGCTTGGAGTACAGGAGCCAGCCCTGTGGTGCAGTTCCCTCCCTACCCCCCCCCACCCCGTCTGCTGGCCTGTGTCCTGGAAGGGACAGGGGGTTGGGGCTGGGACCGAGGGCTCTGCTCAGAGGTGGCTGAAGTCTCATGGGCCATGTCCAGTCCAGTAAGAGCAGACCCCTGCCCAGCAGGGTATGGGGACAATAAGGGGTGTTAATGACATGCCAGCTCAGGGATGTACCCCAGGGCAGACAAAGGAAGAGCTGGCCAGGTTTCAGGCCACTGGGCTGTGGTGGTCAGGCCCCTGGCAGGGCCAGGAACACGCTGCCATGCCCAGGCTGGAGGGGGCTCTCTGAAGAGCCCTGCACAGGTCTGGGCCTGCCCTGGACATCTGGGCACCAGGGGCTGTATCCCAGGAGGGCGTGCCAGGGAGCCTTCCCTGTCCAGGCTCCTGGGGAGAGAGGAGAGAGCCCCAGCAGGACACCCCCTCCCCAGGCTCCTCCCCAAGGCTGCAGCCTTTTATCTGGCAGAATGGGGCTTATCAGAGCCACCAGCTGAACAAACACACAAATCCATGGTGAGTGAGAAAAAACACTCTGCCTGAACTCTTTATCTCCTGTTCACAGGCCCCGCACACTGGCCACTGCCAACAGCAGAGGAGGGGACCCGCTGCCACAGCGCCGTGCAGCCGGGCCATGCTCCCCGCTCTGGAGGTGGGCACGTCTCCACGCTCCGGGTCTTGTTCACCTCCTGCGCCTTTCTTGCGCCCAGCCCAGGGTGGCTTTCCTGTGGCAGCCCCTGCTGGCAGGCCGGTGTGCATGAGTGAGTCTCTGCCCACGGGAAGCCCCCCTCCAGCGTCTGCTTTCTCACCAGGGACAATGGGCCAGCTGGTGGCCTGAAGGCCAGTGGAGAGGCAGGGACAGTGCTGGCTGGCACAAGGCAGGCAGGTGCCACTCCATCTCTCATCCTCTCTCCCCCAGCCCACACTGGGAGGCTGGGCTTCTCCAGTCTGCTGTGGCCGGGTCGCTGGCATGCTTTTCTGCCTCAGCCCCCTTTCCAGTAGGTCTGCCAGAGCAGCGAATACTGTCTCCCCCCTCCCCCCCCCGCCACACACACAAACACACACACACACACACACACACACACACACACACACAGAGTTCAGGGACGTCCTGACCCAGGCAAGGGATGGAATCCTGTCCCCCACTCCCTGCTCCCCTTCGAGCAGGGACTAGGGTTCCTGCCACACCACACAGAGAAAAGAAATGGAGTAGAGGGGTCTTGGCCACCTCCTCCAAACCCAAGGCAACTCAGAGGCCCCTGAGGCCTAGTGCCAAGGACCAGAGATCCTCAGCTGCTGCTCATCAGCCTACCAGACGTAACCACTGCGCCTGATACTTTATCAGAATAGTCAGGCATCTAGGGACCAGGTTTGGGGAGGGAAGCCCACTGTACTTTTTCAGTGCCGGTGGGGGTGGGAGTGAAGCTCTCATGTCACACAACCGCACCTTCGAGGGCCAAGCATCCCTTGGAAGGGAATGCTTTGGCGGTGGCGGCAGGGATGAATCTGGACTGCTAGGTGTGGAACTGGGTAGGCTCTGTGGAGGAAGTCTAGGAATGGCTCTGGTGGCCGAGCTACCTACGTACTACAGGCTGCCCCCCTGCCACAAAGGCGGAATGCAGGCATGTGGGAGAGCCCGGCTGAAGGTGGCCAGGGTAGACTCTTCCAAATCCCCCAGGATAACGACAAAGCTCCCCAACACTGTCTTCTTCATTCCTCCACCAGATCCACCATGTTGGCCCCACCAACCTCCACCCCAACTTCTTCCTTTCTGTGAGTCCAGCTCCCTGGGCCTGGCCTCTTGACTCCACTGCCTTCAGCGCTCCCTGGCTTGCACAGCCTGCCTGTGGGGTTTGGGGGCTCTAGAGGGGAAACTCCACCGTTGAGAGGAACCCGAGCATGCGTGAAGAGCCGCGTTTCCAGCTACATCGGATGGGATGTACTTGTGGCTCCCGCTAGATGAAGGGGGATTCCTGTACCTCGGCCCCCACATGAAGCCAGCCTGTTCTGTAAAGGGTCTCCCCATACGGCCTGTGGACCAGGCCCCTGGACTTCACCCTAGGAAGTGGACCTCAGCTGCACCCACAGAACAAACCTAGGACTATGTACACACTCCAGTTCACATGCTCCTTGTATTCTGCAATGCATTTGCACCCTTGCAGGGGCCAGCAGCCCCTGCATCCATTCGCCACCAGAGGCTTCACCCCTTCTGCACTTCTGCGAACTTTGGGGACTCAGGTGGCCTCAGCCTGCAGCCCCCCAAACAGGTGTGGGTGTGGTTCAAGAACCCATCTCTGCCCTCCCTAGCCTACAGCGCTCCTCCCAGCTCCCCCGCCTCTCTGCCTCTATGATTCCAGAGTGTCCAGGGCACGGGAAACCCAATCTCGAGGGGAGCCAGAGGCCCAGCCTACAGCAATCAGAGCTGGAGAATGTGACCATTGTACCTCCTGAAACCCAAGTCCAGAATCCGAGACACCCTGAGGAGGGGGTGCGGACGGATGGGGGCTGGGGGTGGGTCACTGAGGGGTTCTCCCTGTCTCAGCAAACAGGACACTCAGGGATGAGGAAGTCCTGGAGAACACAGGGCAGCCAGAGGGCAGAGGGAGGGGGCTGGGCGGGGGGCCAGGGGGCCTGGGGAGGTCTGACTCCCTCTCCCTACACTGCTCACCACCACAGCCACTGACATACCACATCCTGGAGCCACCCTGAGCGCCCCTCCCCGTCACCCCAGGAACAGTGTGTGTACGGTCTGGAACAGTGGACTAGCCAAGTAACGCAACTGGAATCTG